CAGCCTTATATCATTATATAGTATCCAGCCCTATATCACTATATAGAATCCAGCCCTATATCATTATATAGAATCCAGCCCTATATCATTATATATAATCCAGCCTTATATCATTATATAGATTGCAGCCCTATATCATTATATATAATCCAGCCTTATATCATTATATAGAATCCAGCCCTATATCATTATATAGAATCCAGCCCTATATCATTATATATAGAATACAGCCCTATATCATTATATAGAATCCAGCCTTATATCATTATATAGAATCCAGCCCTATATCATTATATAGAATCCAGCCTTATATCATTATATAGAATCCAGCCCTATATCATTATATAGAATCCAGCCCTATATCATTATATAGAATCCAGCCTTATATCATTATATAGAATCCAGCCCTATATCATTATATAGTATCCAGCCCTATATCATTATATAGTATCCAGCCCTATATCATTATATATAATCCAGCCCTGTATCATTATATATAGAATCCAGCCCTATATCATTATATAGAATCCAGCCCTATATCATTATATATAGAATCCACCCCTATATCATTATATAGAATCCAGCTCTATATCATTATATATAGAATCCAGCCCTATATCATTATATAGAATCCAGCCCTATATCATTATATAGAATCCAGCCCTATATCATTATATAGAATCCAGCCCTACATCATTATATAGAATCCAGCCCTATATCATTATATAGAATCCAGCCCTATATCATTATATATAATCCAGCCTTATATCATTATATAGAATCCAGCCCTATATCATTATATAGAATCCAGCCTTATATCATTATATAGAATCCAGCCCTATATCATTATATAGAATCCAGCCCTACATCATTATATAGAATCCAGCCCTATATCATTATATAGAATCCAGCCCTATATCATTATATAGAATCCAGCCCTATATCATTATATATAATCCAGCCTTATATCATTATATAGAATCCAGCCCTATATCATTATATAGAATCCAGCCCTATATCATTATATAGAATCCAGCCCTATATCATTATATAGAATGCAGCCCAATATCATTATATATAGAATACAGCCCTATATCATTATATAGAATCCAGCCTTATATCATTATATAGAATCCAGCCCTATATCATTATATAGAATCCAGCCCTATATCATTATATAGAATCCAGCCCTATAACATTATATAGAATCCAGCCCTATATCATTATATAGAACACAGCCCTATATCATTATATAGAATCCAGCCCTGTATCATTATATAGAATCCAGCCTTATGTCATTATATAGAATCCAGCCCTATATCATTATATATAGAATCCAGCCCTGTATCATTATATAGAATCCAGCCTTATGTCATTATATAGAATCCAGCCCTGTATCATTATATAGAATCCAGCCTTATGTCATTATATAGAATCCAGCCTTATATCATCATATAGAATACAGCCCTATATCATTATATATAGAATACAGCCCTATATCATTATATAGAATCCAGCCCTATATCATTATATAGTATCCAGCCCTATATCATTATATAGAATCCAGCCTTATATCATTATATAGAATCCAGCCCTATATCATTATATAGAATCCAGCCCTATATCATTATATATAGAATCCAGCCCTATATCATTATATAGAATCCAGCCTTATATCATTATATAGAATCCAGCCCTATATCATTATATAGAATCCAGCCCTATATCATTATATATAGAATCCAGCCCTATATCATTATATAGAATCCAGCCCTATATCATTATATAGAATCCAGCCCTATATCATTATATAGTATCCAGCCCTATATCATTATATAGAATCCAGCCCTATATCATTATATATAATCCAGCCCTATATCATTATATAGAATCCAGCCCTATATCATTATATAGAATCCAGCCTTATATCATTATATAGAATCCAGCCCTATATCATTATGTATAGAATCCAGCCCTATATCATTATATAGTATCCAGCCTTATATCATTATATATAATCCAGCCCTATATCATTATATAGAATCCAGCCTTATATCATTATATAGAATCCAGCCCTATATCATTCTATATAGAATCCAGCCTATAATAAATTTATATAATAGAATCCGGCCTATCATTATAAGAATCGGCTATATCAATATATATAGAGATCAGCCCTATATCATTCATATAATTATCCAGCCCTATAATAATTTATATAGTAAATAGAGCTATATCATTCATATAATTAATATTTTCTATATCATTTATATATGAGTATCAGCCCTATATCATTATATAGAATCCAGCCTATATCATTATATAGAATCCAGCCTATATCAATATATAGAATCAGCCCTATATCATTATATAGGAATCCGGCTATATCAATATGTAGAATCCACAGCCCTATATCATTATGAGAGATCAGCCTTGTATCATTATATATCAGCCTATATCGGTATGTAGAATCGGCCCTATGTCATTTATATAGAATCCAGC